AAATCTTGATATAGGATAGCGAACTAAATTGTTCCGTTCATCCCCAGAATAAGTATATGTAGTTGTAAAAGTTTCTACAGAATAGTGATCTATTGAAGATCGTTTCCAAGCTTTCAAATAATAAATTTTAAAGCAAGAACATTGAAATTATGAGAAAATGTTTTCAGAAATCATTTTAACACACTTCATATCTTCGTTTTAGGCAACATATAAAATAATTCAATGTTAAAAACCGCTGAGCAATTTTCTTGGAATTCATATATCATTTTTTTTTTTTTTTACGATTAGTTTCTATAAACTCATATCGTACGATTACTCCGCGGGGAGAAGTTCTTAAGTAGTGATCTTATGGGAATATTTAAACGCATACTATCGACAAATGTATTACTTTTGAATATCATGCCTGAAAAAATATAGATAGCTAACCTTATGTAAAATCTTGTAATAAAAAGATATCGAGCACAATAAGCAGGGTTATAAGACTTTATATTTGTTACCAATGTATAGTACCCACAAACCCCCTTCAAATTCGGATTCACGTTCAAAGAGTTACGACTTTCGAAGATGTTAGCTTCTCTTACCTGCAAAGATAAAAAGAGAAGAAAACATGAGCAAATAAACAAAGTAAACATTTTAGAAATTTAAAATGTTTTTAGCTATGAATAAAATATATTTACATGGAATTCCAAGATTGCTTTATACCCCAAGAAAGCAAAGCTTATATTTAAAAATGTATAAACAATATCTTATACATACATAGGTAGTTACAGCTTGAAATGCAGATGTGTAATATTTTTCAACAAATCAACTGTAGAATATTTTTATCAAACAAACGGCGTGACATTTTCTTATCAAATCCGCATCAAGTAGCAACAAAAGTGCTCGGTACGTGCTTGTAAGTAAACGCAGTGGAGACTAACTAAAGTTCGTTGATTGCAATGAGATAATATGAGAAATGCCAGTAGCATTGTAAACCATCGATTAATACATATTTTTAGGTTACTAGATACTATAACAAGGCTCCTGGAGACTGATACCAAATTTTCAAAGATATGTTAGTAAATTAAATAATTATCAAAATTAAACAAAAAAAAAAACAAAATAGCAAAGCAGTCTCTACTTCACCAGAGTTTGGCGTGTGGTGAATCGAACAGACATAAATCAAGTAGCGAACGAATAAAAAGAGATTATGCCACATTAGTGCGGTACTCTACTCTATCTGAAAAGATTTATTGTTGCGCTCACTTTTGTTTTTTATTTTATGCTCTCACTTTTATTATTTCATTTTTTCTTTGCAAAACTCGACCGTAATTAATTGGAAGCGGGTTCGAAACTAAAAACATATTTTTATCATTTGGGTTGAAGAATTGCTCTTGTGATTATTTTGATTTTAAATACAATTGTTTTTAAAGGCCTGGTTCATATTTTTTTTTTTTTTTTTTGTAAAGCCTATATAAAATATAGTAGTAACATAAGATCGTATATTTGAGTATAAGGACAAAATATCAATCAAAATATAATGCAAACACAACAACACAAAACAAAAAAAACCAACAAATTTTAATCCATAATATTTTCGAAATCAAAAGTCAAAAAGTCGAAGTCAAAACACAATATTTTTTTAAGCCAAGAGACGTTTTTAAAGTAATAAAATAATTAGATAAAGACAGAAAAGAGAAATAACAATTCAGTAAGAATTTTTGTTAAAAAGCAGATATATTTATATATTGAAATAGGTAAAGAATTAATATTTTTCGAGGTTAGGTTATAGTGTTGGCCACAAAAAACCGCAGTAAGAGTTGTAAGCAGTTGTTAGAAGAGCGATAAAAAAAATAAAAAGAGCGAATTTCTAGTCGAACATTTGTGGTTCACTCGCACAGCAACACACATGGAAGCCAGAACAAACACATAAAATCTAGCGCTTGGTAGTTAAAAAGAAGCTAAGATAAGAAACTAAAAAATAAAAAATAAAATCAAATGAATAATTGCATACAACAAACAATTGCGGCCTCATTTGCGTGCGGAACAACGCATTAATTTTGCTTGTAAAACTACAAAAAAAGAAAAAAATATATATTTACAAGCTTGCTTGCGAACTCTTATCGCGCGACGCGCACAACTACGCTACATGCATACATACCTATGTAAGACCGGACAGACGCGGCAGCGCCAAGCTAGCCCAATGCGACTCATTATATCATGCATACGGCAACAACGATAACAACAACAAGGGAATGGCGAACATAAAATAATCAAGCGCGAGCCGCTACTACCAGGCGTGTAGGCGTGCCAAGCGGGGGGGTTGAGGGGGGTTTCGTGGGGCTCTTAAGTAGAATAGGGGGACAACAACGACGATATGAATTCTTTTGCGTTGCCGCTGCAGTTAAGACCTTTGCAACAGCAAGCAAATGCAAGCGCTTATCGGCGCAGTGCCAGGCACAGAATGCGGCCGATGGCGGACGCGCTTCAAGGAGGACACTACGACAAACAGCAGCTGCAGTATACGAGCAAATATATAGTAAATATATAAAGGAAGTAGGAAAATTGTTTTGTGCGCAGCAAAAGCAGCTTCAGAAGCTACGCAGGAGCAGAAAAAGAATTAAAAAGTTGTGAGGGTACCAAGTGCAAAGTAGTAGAAATGTAAAAAGCAGAGCGCTTGCGGCGAAATACAACTAATTTGGAAAGCGTCAGTGGCCATTAGGCAAACCAAGTGGCGGCGAACAGTAGTAAACGGGTGTTGGGGGGGTGACAGTCGTACTGGAAAATGCCTGCGGTGGCGGTAAGATACCAAGCGAAGCGGATAAAAAAGCAGAGCAAACAAAAACAATAAGAAAAAGAAATAATAATAATAAAAAAGCGGAAAAAATTAAAAAACTAAAACAAAAACAACAAATTATTACTTTTCCTGCGTTTGCACTTAAATTAGCATTTAAAGCAACGCAAAACTCACGCGCTTCTAGCCAACACAACAAATAGACGTTTGCCGTCGCCGCCAACGCTCTCCCACCCCGCCGTTACACCTTCACAACTTAGCGGCATTTTAAATAAATGCACGCGCTAAGCGGTGTAACATCAAAGCGCAGAGCATTTTGTTTTTCCATTTTAATTTTGCTACTGTTGTTGTTACATGTCTTGTTGTTGCTTATGTAAATATCAAACGCGTTTGTGGAAAAACACACTGAGCACTGCATGTATGTAAATGTTAAGCTGAATTGTATGACACTAACAAGAACAACAGCGTAAATTATACAACAACAAATTGGCCAACAGCTGCAAGCAACAAGAAATCAATTAGCTGCATGCGCGTCGTGTTCGCTGTATGTATGTATATATGTAAGTGTGTGTGTGTGTGTGTGTGTGTTAGTGGTGTGAAGTTTCGCAAAAGTTTAGCATTGGAAACACACTAAGCGCTTGAAGCAGAATTAATGAACGTGACATTTAGGTTACTAAGCGTAGCGCGCTGACATGACTTGGCTAATCGCAGTTGCGGGTCAGATACCCATATGTATGCAGTTCTGTATGTTTATAGGTATGTGCTTATTTGGTCGTTAGTGATAAGCGGAAATGCTAATTATCAGAAAAACTTTAGAAATATTTTTTAAAACCAAATAGATCTGAAAATATATAACCCAAAAACAAAAATATATACAAAAACAAAAATATATACAAATTATATACATAAAAATAAAAAAAAAATTTTTTTTTTAGTTAAAACAAAAAAAATTAAATAGAAGAAGAAAAAAATTTATAAAAAAAGGTATATCAATAAACAAAAAAAAATGTATAAAAAATATATGTCAATAAGAAAAAGAGCAAACAAAGATTAATGAGAAAATTTTGGAACTTTGTTGAAACATTTTATTTGTAGCAGAAAAAATTACAAGAATTAAAAAAAAAATAAAAATGAAATTATAGAAGAATATAAAATATTTAAAAAATAAGAGCACATTTATTTTTACTTCCATAAACATTCAAAAAAATATACAATGCACTTTGCACTAACATTACATTAATTAAACCTAAGTATACCAAAAAAAAACATATGTTGCCTACATTTTGCCGCTTTGATAAATAAATTTGAGACAAGGGAAAAAATTACACATAAATTTCAAAAAAATTGTATATGTCTAATCTACAGATTTTCAATAAAAATTCCTTCAAATTTTTTCAAGAATTTTCTTGTTAAAAGTAATACAAAAAATCGATTTTGGTAAAAATGTCGATTTCTTTGAGTCCAAAGCTTCAAATGTTTTTCTAAATATTTGTCATTCGTATTGAGTTTGGATCTCTGACAAAATACGTAAGATAATTTTATAAGCATGTTGAGTATACATATATAAGAGAGATGCAATGTATCTATACAAATTGCAACCGATAGCCAAATTGAACCTCAATATAAATGAAAACAGCTGGTAAATAGTAGTGATTTTCGACTCTTTATAGTTTTTTTTTTAATAGATTTAGATTCTTTATTTGGGTTAAATTTATTGACTCTATTATTGATTATTGACTCCAATTAAAATTTGGCTATTCCAACTGTATCTAACACCTGCATTAAGTTAAACATTTTCTTCTATCTTCTAGGATTCATCAACATTTAGTGGTTTTCATAGACAGTGGTTTAACATAGCCAGTCATTATTCGACCACCCAGTGGTTTTATTTTATGATTTTTGGCTGCCGAAATGCTGCTTTGGAAGTCTAACCTCAATTTTATGAATCGACGTAACAACCCAAATATTTAAGCGCTAATATTCTAACGCAAAATTTCTCAGTTCCTGCATTTTTCGGTTATTGTTTTGGCCCATCGTCACATTTTTATTACACAATTCGAGTTTCTGGAACGAAAAAATCTCTGCCACAAGCAAGATCCAGAGAAACCGTCACTCTCATATTATATACGTATTTATGTAGGTTTAAATTTTTTTAATAGATTTTACTCAATCATATTTATCTATTTTTAATTTCTTGCATAAACAGCTGCATATGGCGTTATTACCCATTATTGTTATTGAGGATTAAAATGCGATGGCACAAATTTGATGTTGCATCATCAAAACTCACATATGTGCATACAAAAATACATTAATGAAGCAGCAGTGAACTCGAAATATGCGGCAACGACAATGAAACTGGAGCAAAGTGAGACAACAACGCGAGGAATAGAGGGCCATGAAAGGCAAAGAAACAAACAATGCCAAACAGAGATGCGATCGTGCAGCAGATATTATCAAACAATTAAACCATATGCAGAGGTATGTTTGTGCAGATTATTCAATAAAAGCGGCAATGTGTATTTAAAATAAATAAAAATAAGTATATTTTGAAAGACTTGTAGAGCTGACGCCGTGGTAGTTGCCATAAAGTAGTGACTTGGGAAGGTAAAAGAAATAGTTGTTTATAGTGAAAAAAATTTAGAAAAAAGAATTATGCCATACACATATACGAGTAATATTTGTAGTTCGTTTCGTGAATTTAGAGCTCAAAATTTTTTTATAAATGTAGATTTTTTTACAAATGATTTTTGCAATAATTTGATTTTATATCCGGTAGTCAAAATAATTACTTTTTAAATTTTTATTTATTAGTTTTAATTTAATTTTATTTTATTTTTTTCATTCCACTACTTTTTATTTTGCCAACAAATTTATTTATTTTATTTCACCTTATTTTACTTAACTTAACTTAATTTGGCTTTAAAATAACGTAACATAACTAATCTTGACTTAACTTAAAATAACCTAACATTACTTAATTTTTTTTCATTTGACTACATTTTTATTATTATTAAATTTTATTATTTATTTTTTTTATTACTACAGTTAATTACATCTTTTTGCAAATTTTTAGAACTACTTTATTATGCCAATTAAGTTTTTAATTTTTTTCTAATATTAACCCAATTAACAAGTGATTGAAAACACTTCCACGAAAAAAGGCGTGTAATGCAGTTAGTCAATAATGTTTATCAATATTATAAATAATTCTCTACTAAGTACCTCTACGCCCACGACACATAAAACTACTTGGTCACAGAAGCAGCCAAGCAAGCAATTATGTATGTCGAACAAACGCGAAATCACCATTTTAGGTAAACAAAACGGTAGACCATTGGCCACTAATCGATGTACAACTCGTACACTGTCGGCATGTAATCCAATTTTTCACTCGCCACCAACCGATTTGCATGAAACCGAGCTGGGACAATCTGCAGAAATGAGTAAGAGACGAAGCCGTTCAAAGAAATAAATTATGAAAATTTACCCACATTTGTAATGCTGTTAGAAAATTTATTCATATGAAAATGGATAAGCGAACAACGACACACTCATGTACATTTATGACTGTGCATGCACTTGACCACCCGCAATTATATGCATTAGCTGCAATTTTTCAACACTATAACTTGCGCGCACTGACAACAACAATCAGAACAACAACAACTGTAATTGCTGCGACAACCATTAAAGGCAATAACGTATGGGGAAATGAACATTATATTACAAAAAATTGCACACGAGAAATCAAGCCAAAATGACTATTAACACTTTAAGCCCAACAACAAAAATAAAACATTTATAGAAATAATAATAAAAATGCTTAAATTAGCAAAACATATAACAACGCGCGCAATTTTAAGCCAGCAATACTCGATTGCTGCTTATACAGTGGCGGTTAGTAAATTGAAAATGATATTAAATTTTAATCTTAACCAAAAAATATATAATAAAAAATATTAAAAAATTCAATTAAAAAAATTTTAATATATAAAAAATATTTTTAACAAAAATTTAAATTTAAAAAAAAAATTTAATTTGAAAAAAAATATATAAAATATGAAAATAAAATTTTGTTTGAATTTTATAAAAAAATAAACTATACATATAAAAAAATGAAAAAGTAAATTAAAATAATATAAAAAAAAATAAAAAGTAAGTTAAAAAATTAACAAAATATTAAAAAAAGAATTAATTAAGTTTAAAAGAACTTTAAAAAAATGTAATAAAAGAATAACCAACTAAAAATTTTTCTTTATATTTTTTAATTGTATATATAATACAAATAAATTTATTTTTGTAACCTTGAATACAAATTTTTTATGAAAACATTACATTTGCTTACTAAGAAAATGTTTTCTTTACCAAAAGTACTTTATCATGATATTTATTTCAATTTTTTGATCGTTATTTGTTCTTGAAATTTTTGTTTGACTTTTTTAGTATAATATATTGCATACATTTTATTATTATACGTTATTTTTGTTATAAATTGATTTCAACATTATTTTTAATAATTAAATAATTCTTTCTAAGATTTTCTTTAATACATTGCTTATTTTAAAATTTTCATATATCATTTATAATTAACATATTTATATTAATTTAAATATATTTTAATAATAGTTTTAATGTTTATTTTATTATAAAATATATATTGTTTTATTTTTTTAAGTTTTTTATCTTCAACTTTTTTTATATCTAATAATTTTAAATATTAAAATATTTTCTATATTCTAATAATTTAAATAAAATATTAAAATATTAAAATTATTATATTTATTGATTTTTTTTTAATTTTATTATATTATTTTATTTCTTAATTGTTCTTAAATTTTGTTTTTGAATTTTTGTTTTCATTAAAATAAATATGTTAAACAAAATTTTTTTTTCAAATTTCCAAACAAATAACTTTTTTCGAGCCACCACTGTACTCACACAAGTGTGCCTCATACATAACCCGCCCGCATATTCTAATTACAGCACAACTTTAATTCTTTTTTAAAATTGGCTATAAATTGCATTAAGCATAGCGAATTGAAAATGATATTGAAATGAGTGTAATTTGTTATGGCATCGACATTGTTTACAAAATAAATTTGCATTTAATGTCTTTGATTTGTGTGATTTTATTTTTATTTTTTTTTTGTTGTTGCGATTTCAAATCACTAAAAGGAGTTAAACGTATACCGCTTTGTCATGATTTGCTTGTAAGCGTAATTAAGCGAAATGTTTATAATAAAATGTTCGTTTAAGTATTCAAATTTAGTAAAAATACTTAATAAAACAATAAAAGTACCGACAATTTTGCATTGAAATGAAATTATATAGTGCAAAACAAAATGGGGTAATTGAAATACTTAAGTAACTGTAAATTAAGCTATAAAATTTTATTGAAACAAAATGGATGGAGTTTATGAGAATTTATGAGGTGTTTGGATGTAGTTTAAATTGCACAAGGAATTAACATTTAATATTTAATAAAAAGTTATAAATTTATAGGAGGGAGGGCTGCCATCTATGATAAAGATATTTGTGATAGGTTAAAGATGCTTTGTCGTCAGCTGATATTCAAATAGAGCAGTTTTTATCTGATTTCACAAAGGGAAGGTTTTAATCTGTCTTGATCAAATTCACTACTAATTTTCCATTATTTTTTCGAACCACGCAATTAACTTTCTCATAATATAAATCGAGTTCAACACCATTAAAGTGTATAGTTAACAGGTTAATCTTCAACAACCTAGACCATATTTTTCCAATACTCCAATCCTCAAACCATTTCGATATTTTTATAATTATTCGGTATGGTAAATATTCACAACGTTCTCTAGTTCTCTCACTTGAGAATGTGAAGAGTTTTATAAATATAAATTTGCCATGAAACCCGTTTAAGCTCTATACTCGGGAGAAAAGTTCAGCTAAGAATTAAAATTTGAGTAGAAACAGAGTGATTTGAACTGTAATCACTGTCTTGCAACTCTTAGTAGCCTCTAATCGCCGCCAATATTTATTTGTGATATATTTATCCGTCAATCGGTAAAAGAGAATGAGAGTGAAAAAAAATAGTTGATAAAAATTCCAAGGATGAGAGTAATGCAGAAATTAAAATTTAGGTGGACCTAAACTCCTCAAGAAAAATTATTTAAACTCCTCTCCTACTTTTTACAGAATTGCCAGCGAAGTGGTAACTAATTTACACCACATGATAAACATATAGACCACTCTACACAGCTACAAATATGCCTGTAATATAATCCAGCTTTTTCGCCTACTTTTATGTTATATTTGTATACAGCCAACCTAGTAACACGTCCTCAAACTGTCAATAACGGCAAACACTATAATTAGTTCAAAAGACTTTCCTTTCTACTGTCAAAAACCTTACTTGCTGTGTGCGTGTGTTGGTGAGTAAGTAACGATCTAATGTAAATCTACAATAAATTGTGCTAAAAATGTCAGTAAGCGCATAATTTATCAAAAAATAAATACAACAAAAATAAATACAACAAAAATAAAATAACGAAAAGGTAGATAAAATCGGTAAAACAATTCACAACAAGAGAGCCGACGAAACGAACGGTTGCAATGAATTTGTGGCCAAAGGCCACAGTCATCATTTGACAGCAGCGGCATAGAAAACTCAAATTACAGTCGTGTGCAAATTTATAACTTTATTTGCGAATTTTCACAACTTTCCAGATATTCACATGCAAGCAGAGAAAATGTTTGGCAAAATAACAAATAATAACAATATTGGATGTTAGCATTGAAGCTGTGAGGGATGTGTTTACACAACTTTTAATTTTTTTTAGAATTTTTTTTTTTTTTTGCTCTTTACAGTTTTTTTCCGCTTTACTGTTATTTTCATATTATTTTTGCCATTTTTACCATATTTTTTCATTTTTTGTTAGGACAGCGGCATACTAATTTTTCGCCATTGCAACAAAAAATATTTTGCATTTCCGAGTTGGGTCAGCGCATTGCCAGTGGGGTCCATCATCTCAGTTTTAACTAAGCGCAAGCAGCAAAGATTTCCCTGCAAAGCAAATTTTCCACTCATTTTCGGCGCAATTTTGATGAGTTATGAGTCTACAGCAGCCATTTTGGTGGCAGCATGCAGCACGATCGCCAAAGGGGACTGTGTGACTAGCAACTAACTGCTCATCAGATGTTTTCATTTTCATCAACAACATGCCAGCACTAACAACAACTTCAATGTGGCAAAATAATTTTGGCACTTCTTCGTGTCACGGCTGCAGTGGCCGAGTGATAGTGAATGTGCGAATATTTTGTGCGAAGTCAACTTGAAAACCATTCGCAAACTATTGCTGCCGCATAAACACACACACTCGTGGCATTCATACAATCAGCATTCGTGCAACAGCGGCAACGTAGGACAGTTAGTGAGTGAGTAGTGAAATTTTAGCTGACAAGCGAAAATGAAAACAAAAACAAAAATACACAGTATAAAGGCTTGGAAAACAATTTGCCTATTGATGGCAAACTTAAAACTTAACTAGTTGGTCCAATCGATCCGCGTTGGCAATTTAGCGGCCATATTTTTGTTTGTGCATACATATTTAACGATCGCCAGCGTCATTTACAGTACATGCATGCCGTCATAACCTACACCATAGCCGCTGTTATTGCTAGATCTTGATTGTTGACGCTTCCACTTTTTAGCAAAGCAAATATGAAACCTCAAATCACCGCAAAAATTAGCGTGAAGTTTGTGGCGAGACGTGGAAAATGTTTGCTACTGCTGCTGGGCAAAATGCCACGACACGCTCTTGACTACGCCGAAGTTTTCGCAACAACAAAAAAAAATGTTTTTTGAAATGTAATAAGTATGAGGGAGCATTAAGATCGTGTCTATCTAGGAAAAACATAAATTTCCTATAATAAAAACTTTTAATAACACATCTTATGTTAAAATTTAAGAAGTAAATGCCGATAATATTTCTTTAAGAAGTTTATTTTTGTAAGCAATTAGCTAAATGCGCTTTATGACAGGTTTCATGCTATAAAATAACAGCGCTTACAAAATTATTTTCAATTTGAATATTTAAAGGAAATCTATTTTTATAAGCAATTATTAAAACGCACTTAACTATGGGTTTTGTGACATAAAAACGCGGCGCTTACAAAACTTTTGTATTGATTTCATGTTAAAACTTAAACAAAAATTGTAAGCGATGTGACTACTTTAAGTAACATTACGAAAAAAAGCTAAATCTGTAGCTGCTTACAAAATTTAATCATAATGACAGTGTCGTTAAATTTTTGCACATAATTCATATATAACGTTTTGCTAAAGCAACTGAGCACAATATTAATAGCAGCACACAGCTTAACTTTTTAAAAACTAAATAAAATTGTAAGCACCTATTGAAAAACGTTTATCGCTTTAATTAGATATTACTATAAGTATAGCTTACAAATTTATATAAGGGCTTACAAAATATGTAAAACAAAAAATATTTAATTTGTAAGCGTAAACGTAACCTTCAATATATTAACTTACTGAAAGCGTTAAATAAATTCAAACAGACACTATTAATTGAAGAAAGTAATAACAGTTTAAAATTAAAAAAAACGCAAACATAAAAACATTTTTAGACAAACGAAAACCCACAAAAACTTAGCAATGAATAGCTAGCAACAAAATAACCGAAATCGAAAATCGCAACACACTGAAAGCAAAATCGTCGATTTAACAGAGCGCAAAACGATTTCCGTGTTGCATGCAGCCAGCAATCAAATTGCTTTAATTTTTGCTGATTTGCAATTTTTCCTCTCTTTAACTTTATTATTTTTCCTTTTTGTTTTTGTTTGTTTCTTTTTTGCAACGCTTTTAATTTCGAAATTTATTGCACACAAATTGGACAAAAAACTTTCCGGTAATATGGGCCAAACATGCAACAGCAACAACACGCCACAAACTTCGATAGGCAAACACGACGCCTGCTTATTGGACCTTCATGCCGAAGCGATAAGCGCTATGTTGAGGACCAAAGTAACCAATAGCGATAATTAACCGAGTTATATGGCCGCTGCAGCATTTGTTTTCGTGCACAAATTTGTCTTTTCTTTGAATGGTTTGAAAAGTGAATTTATGACTGCTCTAACTTACACTGTGTCTCTGTCTATATTTTCATTGTTGCTTTGCTGCAGTTATTATATTACCTACATATGTACATACACATGTATGTATATGCTGTGAGCGTATTGTTAAGCAGTTAATTTACAATTGGAGTAAATAAATATTCGTTGTAGACAGTTTGGTATGAAGTTTTATTATTGAGTGGGATATTTTATGTCCAATAGGATATTGCATTTGTTAAAGTACGTTTGACTATGTTAAATTTTATGTTTACACGAGCAATGGTGTTTTATTGTTGTTAGATTTTTAAGTGAGAGGTTGCAGTTTTGTTGCATAGCGTAGTTTTTTTTTTTGCGCTATAATTGAAAAAATGTACGCTGAATTTTGTAAGTCTTGATCGTGGCGCATATTTCGGTGGATGTGGCAGCATTTAGTGATAAACCTTACACAATTTTTCAATTGCTTCTCATGGAAAATTGTTAGAATTTTGTAAGCAGTAAATGTAAACGAAATTGCGGTTTACATGGAAGTTATGCGCGATAATGCTGACAAAATTTTGTATATGCTGACTATGAAATAACTGTTTTAAATTTGTAAGCAACTAAAACAAAGGTTAATTCTTGTGCATACTAAACTGAAACTGCTGAAGCTTACAAAATTTTAATTTTAAAAATATTAGTATTTAATGAAAATACTTTTTTTTCGAAATAAGGAGTTGCGCTCGCATAATTAGAGATTGCTGCGAAATAAATGTATACATACTGTATAAATTTTACATTACGTTCAACTAAACATATCTTAAAACTACACACAATATCATTTCGTTTATTTTGAAGTCCATAAAATAAATGGTTTTACGTGATTTTTATAGTTTTTGCATAAACTGTCAATATATCAATAATAAATACGCCCACCACAAGCTAGTCAAATACACCTTCAATCTTTCTACTTTTGTGGTAGATATCATGAATAGCCTTTAGCTAGCTGCGCAAAAGTCGTGGGATTAGCAACGATTTGTTTCGAGTTCAACAAACCAAAAAGAACGAATAGAAATCAAACAAATATTTCCAATCGCATATTACCCAAATGGGCATATCTAATGCGGAACAAATGTGCTGAATGTTGCGCATAAGCATTAATTCGAAATGTACTTTGCTTCGAACGCTTCGTAGGCATGCGCAGTGAACGTAATTTTCCTATGCGGTGACAATAAAAGCGTAGTCACCCGCGCATTTTTCTACGTAAGTACTTAGAAAGGAATATGCACCTATACATATGTTTATACCTATGTATATTTAAGTCCATAGTTCAATTGTTTATAAGGCGCTGGTTGTTGCTACATTTGTGACAATCGACAGCTGCCGATCGACGGCGACATGAATTGATTGTCAGCGGCATAAGACAGTGACATGAATGCGTTGCGTCGAAAATGGAATTGAAATGAAAGCGCCAGCGTGCGCGCAAACGCTAAAACACATACACACACATACATGCAGAAGCGCGCGCATCGCCCATAGAACATTTAAGTGAATTACGTTATTTCCAAGCACCGTTTTTTCCTCATAATTTTGTTGTTGTGTTCAACTGTCATTTGAGTCATTCGATTTTGATTTATTATTATTGCCATTTTAATAAATACACCGGCAGCAATGCAGCTCAACCACCGTGGCACGGTGGCGGTTTCGACATTAAATGTGCGCCTGCGCGCGCCACCTTATTTGTAACACTTTGCCACTTGCACGCTCCCGCGCTCGCTGGCTTTGCAGTCCGCTCGCCACTCATGCGTCGCATTACGCTAACTTTGCGATTTTCATTAGGAAAGTAATTACATTTAATTTGACATTTGCTCGCATCGACGACTGTCAGGGTAATTATACCTGTTCAAGGAAGACAGATGAATGTGATTAGGGCTTATATAGTGATATGTTGATATGGTGTGCCATTTATGATAGTGTTCAGTATGTAGAAGGGATGTATGACAGCGCATGCGCATGCCTATCGTATTAGATTTGCTCACCATTAACGGTAAAGCTAAGATGACAGGTAAAATGTTGTTTGCGCATTAAGCGTAAATTTATAATTTTTATGTACAGCCTAATAGAGCAGTAGGACTGCAAATGAAAACTCCAATTTTATTTTAGATGTGGTTAATACTTGCTAATATTCGATTTTATATATACAAGTTCACAATTTAAAACACATGCGCATGACGCTTACAAATTCGCGCAAGCGCTTACAAGCTCAATCAAAATATATTACACGATTTTTGTAAGCAATAAAATATTAATATGATTGCACTAAAAATAAGCTAAATACTTGGTTGCTTACCATATTATACACCCATTTACAAAAGAATTAGCGCAAATGTTGTAAGCAGCTAAAGGATTAGATGGACAGCTTAAATATCAATATAGTTTATTGGTCGAATACACAATATGGTATACGCTTACAAAAAAAAAACAGCAGGAATATTGAAATATATAATGGATTAATGTGACTTCGTAAAAAGCAATACGAATAATTGCTTGCTTACAAAATTTGTTAAGCGCTTACACCAAAAACGATGCCCAAATATTGTAAGCAACTAAAGGATTTTAACAAATTTACATAGTGTTATACAAACAACAACTTGCTTACAAAAATTAGTAAGTGCTTGCAGTGAAACTTGCACATATCTTGTAATCAACTTAAGGATTCAAACAACCGTACCTTTTGTTTTGTTAATAATTACTTGCTTACAAAATTTAGTAAGCGCTTGCAATTAAACTTGCATATATAGGTTAAGCAACTTAAGGGTTTGTTTGTAACGTTAAGAATAAATAACTTATTGCTCACAAAATGTAACAAATACTTATATTCAAATATATTTGCCCCCGTATTCATAGACAATATTAATTTCCTGAATTCCTTCTCAAAATTTTCAATATGCTTTAGTTGTTCTCCTGCATTAGCATTGATTTCAACCCCGCTCTTCTGTTGTCAATTTTATTAATTCATGGTTCAGCATTATTATGCTAATTTAATTTGCTTTAGGAAATGAAGCCGCTGCTTATGGAGATGATGGAGATGAATGGCAAATAAGCTACCAACAACAATCCAATACTTTATTGTCGTGTACTATTGATGAGTTCATTTAAACACGAGCTAACACATTTTTATTATAGATTTTCTTTGTTATGCTTTTGAGGGCAAAAACTCAATTCGAATACAAAGGAACAAAGGGCTAATGATTACCTTTTGTACGACTGGAAAATCATGTCCATAAAAGCCGTTGGCTTTCATATAAAAATTTAGCGCACTTTATATAAGACATTGTTTTCATTGTAGGCCTTCTCATGTTTTAAATGGCGCCTTTTAATTTATATGAGCATAAATAGAGCTCGAGTAGCTTTGAAATTGTAATATTTTCGGTATACTGAATTACTACTCCTTTTTTGTTTTTTGTTTTAAGAATTCTTTAGTGGTCTTGGTAGTACGTAAAAAGATTTCAAACGTTTTTTTTTTTAAAGTAGAACTTAACGGTAGTTCGCAGATTGCTTATGGGTTTTAGGTTAGTTGATTGTCTCTTTAGAAGTCTTATAGGAACAAAGCGAACATCGCTTAAGTATTAATAATTTTTAACGTGCTAAATGTATGAAGCACTCTTCGATAGAATAGGTACCGTTAATTTACATATTGTTCTCTAATATTCGAAATGTGTAAAGAAAATTATAATATA